AAAGTGGTGGAGCGAGCAGACGTCGACGGGAAGAATGAATAAGAGGGTCGGGGGTGGAGATGATGTTCTCGAGATGGGGAGGAATGAGAAGTCTATACCAATTTGACTTATAAAAGCGACTGCTGGTCTTGTAGATTTCTCTTGCTGCGCGAATATCGCATATATCAACTTCGTCGGGGGAGGCGCGGACAATAGGGCCTAGAGATTTGCGTTGATGCTGCGCTTCGAAAGTGTATGGCAGTAGTACAAGGACACCCACCATATTGTTTGTGAAGTTCATCTACATAACTTGTCCTTTTGCCAGCCAACCAGTAGTAGCTGACTATCAAGTTGGTCCATCGGGAGAGATATGGCCCTGGAATATGTGACAAGGGGTTTGTGAGCCCTTTGTAGAGATATCTCTAAACTGTGTTAGCATAAATCGTGGTTATATTATAGGGTTATAGTCAGCCCACTAATAAAATAGAAATGGCGAGAACGCCGATTAAAGCAGGTATCATATTTGCGAAACTAAATAGGAAAGGGAATAGAAAGACTCCTGATGAACGTCACGTACTTTTAGTTCCGTGGGCGCTCAGTATAGCCGCATCCGGGGCATCGTGAAGAGGCGGGAAGGGGCACCGTTTGATATGGGAAAGATCAATGTAAGGGGGTTCAATGGACTCATTGTTGATTCAAGGCAGTAATAACCTTGGTTCTGATGAAGATGCCAAGTCTGCAAGGCAGCCATTTCCTAAATCATAGTTCCAAGCGTGGGGATGGCCTACGCCACTTCCCCTTCAAGGCGACGTACATGTCAATGGCGCTCAAACTGAGCAAGTTTCTCCAATGATTTCCAGGCCCAGGGACCCTCTTTTAATGTTAGCGGTCATTCCATCAATGACATCAGCTTCGAAGCTGTCGAGTGTGAAAGTCTCATTTAAAATTCATGATGATATGCTTCATATTCTCAACTTCGTTTCGTTGGAGAATAAGGCCAGCTCTTATACTCTCTATGTCGACGTCGGATTGCTCCTGATCAACTTCTACGGAGGACACGAACACAGAACTCGATAGACTCCTGAATCTCTTTTTCGGCAATCTTTCCATTCGTGTCAACTGTTCCTTGGATGACTAGATAGTGCAGACTTAGCTAAGAACCTCCCATAAAGGACTGGTCAGTCAGATAACTTACTCGGCCGGAATATATCCAAAGCTCGTTCAAAGCTCTCCTCGCCCAGCTCATTGAGTATAGGACGGTCCTTGTGGGCCATTTGGCCATATGCACTGCTCACAAACAGCAAGAAGCGTGTGTACGCCTCGCGAACCTTTTTGGAGTGCCACTCCCCGGCAGCCCGCTCGCTGCACTGACCTTTCATAGACGCGCATATTGAAGCCGCCGCAGACAGAGCCCCAAGAAGAGCAAGGTGAACGCCAGATGAGAAGAGTGGGTCGATGAAGCACCCAGCGTCCCCGACTATGCGCACATTGGCAGCCACGTAAGATGACGCATTGTACGACCAATCCGACGCAGATTTGACCTCGGAGACGAGCTCCGCATCTTGTACAAGGTCCATGATTCCAGGTGCTTCGTGCAAACAGCCCAGAAAATAGTCTTTGGTTGATGGCGCTCCCATTGCTTGCTTTCTAGCCTTGACAATGTTTTGGTGTCGAACAACGCCAACGGAGGTTGTTCCGTTGTGAAGGGGAATCGCCCAAATCCAGCCAGATGCGTCTGCAGAATTTGATTAGTCTTCTCTTGCTTCAGCTGGTCGCTGTGAAAAGCCGATATAGGTACCTTCAAGACAGCTGAAGTAGGGGGACCCTTCCATAACAGTGCCTACTCCATACGTTGCAGCGTTCTCAAAATATCCCCAAGTGGCCAAGTCTGTCAGGCCTTCATTGTACCATCGGTTTTTCAAATACTTCGTGCTCATTAAGCCGGCTCGCCCGCTTGCGTCCACCAGATATTTGAATCGGATTCTCCCGGCACTTTTGTCTCTTCGTGTCCAAGATGCCGACTCGGGGAAGTCAGCGTTGCTGGTTGCTGATGATTCAGTCGCTCGAAACTCTAAGGAAGTGACCTTTACGCCGTCAAATGTTTGGCAACCGCACTTTCGGCATAACGAAACAATATCTTGTCTGCCTCGGATCGTATCACATTCCAAGTATAATTCTGGTGGCCTCCGGCCTTGATAGAATCGGTATCTATTCGCCCTTTAACAAGCGCCTTGTCGGGCATGGTGTGATAACATACATCCTGGTGGCTTACTGTTGAACTTGAATGTTCCTCCTTTCTGAACAGAAGATAAATACTCGCCAGGCGGTGTCATCACACGATAGACTGACCTTTATGTTAAACTGATGACCTTCGAACTCAAGCAAGACACCAATAAATTCCATGAAGTGCTTCAAGGATGGCAGCATACTCTCTCCCACGTGGTATCTATGATGAGTCAGTGGAAACATAGGCCTTGAAAGTCAAGGGAATGCGGCTTTTAACTGGATTTCAATTGACCTTGGGAAAACATCGGCTTCCAACAAAACGGTATCAATTCCTTCTCTGGCAAGCACAGATGCGGCATATGATCCTCCTGGGCCACCGCCGACCACGAGAACTGTGCATTCTGCTGGTACAGACATAGTAGTGACTGTCAGTTCAAGTATATTAACAAGGTTAAGATACCGAAAGACCATGGGGCGTAATGAGAATAAATGGATTCTAGTAAAGATTTCGTGGAGATAAGTTGAGGGCATTCTATCATGCAGCGATATGTGGTCTTTTATACTTCAACCTTGATCGAATTGCCCTACCATGAACGCTTCCTTTGGAACTTGGCCTTTCATTTTCTGCAAGGTAGATGTAAGGGCTACTATTCTTACAACACTTGCAATAGGCATGAGTCATGGTATATTCGGGCATCTCTATGTTATACAAGGTTGCTTGTAAAGGATCGGGGAACTAGTACATGGCATGGTTGTATGGCTTATTATATTTATAGGTACTAAATGTGTCGGTAGACGAGCCAAAGAGTTAAAATAACAATGTTGATCTTAGTTGACATACTAACTGTTAGTACTATTGGTATAGGCTGTCTTATGGCAGAGTTAAACTACTATATATACTTAAGTAGTAGTACCTTGTGACCTCGACAGCCGCCAATAGGCTGACACATAAATATGATACCATAGTTCTCTGGTTTCTTCAAAGAGAGATCTATTTAAAAGCTAATGTCTTTCTCCATCTACTCCGTACGTGGGGTCTACTTTGTCGCGATTTGACAATTTGATGATGCCTATCATATCCCCTATAGGTTTTTCGGGAATGTAGATGCCATGCATTTGGTGCTACCTGAGATTCACGAGTTGCTATGAGGCACATCTACCCGCTAATAAGAAAGCGGTCTGAGGTGGTTTGTACAACATGATGGACTTGTTGGGGGGTGGGGCAGAGGGGCTATCATTGTCTTCATCTGTCTGGTTCTCAATTTACTTACTTTCTTCTCTCACGTGCATGAATATGACGATGAGCGATTACTTTCAAATAATGTATAAAGCCGAGGAATTAATGTCCCGACTCGAAGCATTAGCGTAGTCGTTGTGTACTTCCTTACATCATCTTTGTTCTTAATTCCGAGGTCTCTGGGATATGGGTGGCAGGGGAAGCGAATCATCCAATTGATCGAATAAGATTCGCATAACTTCTGGGACTGACGTATAAAAAAATACTCCTATCTCATCCATACAGCCGCCGTCGTATATATGATCTACATCATTTATAGCACTCTGTTCTCTCTCTCCTCATGTTTTCTCCTCGGTATACTAACAAAAGTGGCTGGCTGCAACGTTGATCTACTTGCAGCGAGTAGATGCAGAAAGACAAAACCATACACTGTTAAGAACATCTCATGAGGCATATTTGTCGAGTGACAGATGCTCTAGCATTCTTAACAAAGTACATTGTGGCCACATCTTTAATATGGTACTAGCTCTTTGACCATTGCTTATCGATGGTAATGTCATGGAGATCTCAACGTAACTACGACCTGATAGGCATTCTTGGGTATTTTTATCGACCAAGTCTAGTAGAACCATAGAGTCGCTCTATAGATCGCATGTCATACTTCTATACGCTAATGATTGAATACAATCCTTACTGCTCTGAGTGGTCTTACTATGGTGAACATATTCGACATGTAAGCATTACACTGGCGGCTTTGTATACCCAAGTCTGTGATTAAGAAACCGATAACCCGATAAACTGAGGGAGCGCCTCAAGGATGTGAAATAGCCTGCTTAGTATCTTAAGATCCATTGAACCCTAGTAAGACTGTTGAAAAGCGCTTGAAGCCAAAGACCGGAGATATCAGTTGATGGATTTGTCGAAACCATCATTATCAAAATAGAACTGACAGTCTTTAACACCATGACTGACTATAAAGTCATTGGTAGTTACTGCGCAGGCAGCCAAATAAACATGGTGAGAGATACGAAGTAGATGGATAAGAATAGATAGGCTACCATCAATTAGAAAGCTAAAGAAAAGTGCCAGGCAATAAGATAAGCTATGAGAGGCAGGCGGTCAGTAGTGGCAGGTCGGGACCCTGTCAAAGGGACTGCTTATCCATGGTTAGAGTGGATGTTGAATGGAAAAGAATTGGAAATGTGGCAAATCTGACTGCTTGACCGTTGAATCCACCACACACTTACGTACACTGGAGTAGTGCCAGTGGCGTGATAAGTAGGGAAAGCAATCAGATCAAAGCCCTGTCAATGGCGGGGATTAACCAAGTGTCTTAAGTGACAGGGGTTCTTCCGCCACTGAGAGGTTATTCCGAGAACACCACGGACAGTGTGCAGTGCGTCTGTATGTGAAGACAGGGTGTTACAATAGTAATCATCTAATGCAATCCAAGAAAAGACGTACAAAGTCGAAGATCTGATCGCAATGTTACTTTTTGTGTAGGAGGTGATGAACCCTGGAAATCGACGAGGGGCAGTGCAGTCAGAAAAGGGCCTAAAAGAACTTGAACGAGAGGATGGTTTGCGTGGCCCCCAAGCCACGTTCAAAGCCGACGGCGACCGATGAGTGGCCCGCCGCCAATTAAGGTGCCTCCGCAAATTCCCCATCGGGTTCCAGTTTTGGGTTCAGGCCTTCATTCGAGACTCCCTTTTTTGCCGTCTGGCTCGCCTTCTCGACGGCTCTTCTTCTTCTGGTTCTGGTTCTTGTTCCTCTCCCACTTGAAGTTAGTCCGTTTCCCAAAAGAGCTTACCCTTTCCCTCTTCCTCTTCCTCTTCCTCTTTTTCTTTTTCTGACACTTCTATGCTTTACTCTGCTCTTGCATTTGCAGTCATTCTTTTTCCTGCTTGCATCCAAGTAGTCTTCAATTAAAATTAAAATCCGGCTGCAGTCAAGTGGCGGCGGCTCTATTGTTATTTCGGCCGTCTTACCGCTTCCGGCTGCCTCATTTCGTATTCGCTGCAGCTGAACAAAACAGAGTCAGGACAGCTGAACTCACTTGGTAGGTCTCTCTTTCTCTTTTGCTCGCCGCCTGCGGAAAAAGATGTTCCTCTTGACGTCTTCCCATATCCTTGTCTCTTCTCAAATCTCCGCGTGGCCTTTTCCTTCCCCTCTTTACCCCCCCATCTCCCTCTCCGCCCTCTTGTCCATTCTTGTTCCTTCTGTTAACTCGGTGGAACTCGCTCCCCACAGTTGTTTCCGCCTGTTTCACTTCCAGCCATCTGCCATCATCGTCTTGGCTCTCGCTCCGGTTCACCTCCCTATCGCTGTGACGAACCTTCTCCTTTTCCAGTCTACCTTTGCGCGAGTCGCTTGTACGATATCCATCGCTGGTTTGCTTTCGGGGGGCTCTCATATGCTGGCATAAACGAGTCCGTTGTTATTGGCTGGTTTTTGGGGCTCGAAGAATGAGTCAGGCCTTTCGTCATACAGGAGATACGACTACGACCGATTCGCAATCTGGTTATTTACCTTCTGCCTCGAGATTCGAAGTGAATTGATAGAAACGCAAGGAGACGGATATTGTGGCACCCACATCACTGTGGACATTTGCGATCCCGCCATGTCCCAACATGATGATGTACCCGAGTCCAATCACGGTCCGCAGGAAAGCACGTCGGCGGAACATACAACCGGAGGAAATGGCGGCTCGACTCCAGTACCGCAACTGCCACGGAGCCAGTCCTTGGATATAAATCGTGTTCAAGGCGGTGCAGTCCCCGGCCGACCGTCCCTTTCTCCATCTCGAACCGTGTCGGATGCTGGCCGAAGATCATCGCAACATCATGTCCGTTTTTCGACCGACTTGGAGCGTCCGGCCCCGGAGCAAGTTCGAGGTTCGGACACCGACCGACGGCCCGCGTCCAGAGGGTTAACAATCAACACAAATCTCGCTCAATTGCAGGTGCCTTCATCGGGCAGGTCCCCAGGACATAGCGCAACCTCGCCTTTGTCGCCCAATTCGACATTGTCCCCTCCCTCCCCACAAAGTCCGGAATCCGGTGGTCGTTCGAGATCGCGTCATCGTGGGTATTCGCTGCGACGGACGATCTTCGCAAAGAATATTGAGTCCGCTGTTACGTCTCCGAATACGATCGAGCTGGGTCAAGCCCATGCTGTTAGCCCACAGGAAGGCGCCTCTGCTGATGTTTCCGAGCGGAAATCGGAGGAGGTGCCGCGCCAGTCCACTGAAGACGAGAAGCAAGGCGTTCTAGTAACGCAAAACTCCGCATCCGATCCAAACCTGGATCTGTCGACGACGTATTACTCAGAGTCTTCAGATAACCTCAAACACAGCAGGCACCTCTCCACAAGTGTCTCCTATGAGAAATGGCTCAAGCGGAGGGCTGTCTTTGCCACGCTGATGCTTCGTCTGGAGGACATGCTCGAGACGGCACGTAAAACCATCCTTCGTATCAAAGACATTCCGCCCAGCAAAGACGGTCGGCACATTGACCTTGACGCGACTCGCACCGAAGCCCTCGTCGATGAGAGAACCGGAAACCCCTATGTCGGAAACTCCATCCGTTCCAGTCGTTACAGCTTTTGGAGTTTCTTTCCCCGCCAACTGTTCGCGCAGTTTACGAAGCTGGCCAACTTCTATTTCCTTATTGTTGCGATTCTACAGATGATTCCTGGTCTGAGTACCACCGGTTCATTCACCACACTCGTGCCGCTGTTGATCTTCGTTGCTATTTCAATGGGCAAAGAAGGCTTCGATGATTGGCGTCGCTATCGCTTAGACAAGGAGGAAAATAACCGTTATGCATTTGTCCTTCATCCCGGTGCAGGTATGCCTCCCCAGATGTGCGCTAGCGACAGCATGTCCGTTTCAAGCGAGTCTCAGGACTGGGTCCCAGTGAAGTGGAGAGATATCAAAGTTGGAGACGTCATCCGATTGGAGCGTGATCAGCCTGTACCGGCAGATATGGTCCTGCTTCATGCGGACGGGCCAAACGGTATCGCTTATATTGAAACCATGGCTCTGGACGGCGAGACCACTTTAAAGAATAAACAGCCTGCTCAGCCTATCGCAAAGGTGTGTGGGACAGTTGAGGGAATCTGTAGCAGCGCTTTGCATTTCGCCGTTGAGGACCCCAACATGGACCTTTACAAGTTCGACGGGAATGTGACCATCGCCGCGGAAGAAAAACTTCCATTGACCAACAATGAGATCTTGTACCGCGGTAGTATTCTGCGCAATACCGAATGTGCGTATGGCATGGTCATCTATACCGGCGAGGAGTGTAAGATTCGGATGAACGCAAACAAGAACCCTCGCATCAAGTCGCCCTCTCTCCAGGCCAAGGTCAACCGGGTTGTTATGCTGATCGTGCTCCTTGTCGTTTGCTTGTCGGTAGGATGCACTCTCGCTTACAAGTTTTGGTTCCATCAGCAAGTTGAGCCCAAGGCATGGTATCTCACTCAGGCGAGTGTAGCCATCGGGCCTATCTTCACCTCCTTCCTGATCATGTTCAATACGATGATTCCCATCTCGCTATACGTGAGTATGGAAATTGTCAAGGTCGCGCAGATGCTCCTGCTGAATTCCGACATCGACATGTATGACCCCGAGACTGACACTCCCATCGAAGCTCGCACATCCACCATCAACGAGGAATTGGGCCAAGTCAGCTATGTATTTTCGGATAAGACCGGTACCTTGACCAACAACTCAATGCGCTTCCGTAAGATGAGTGTTGCTGGCACTGCATGGTACCATGACTTTGATCTTGTCGAAGAGGCGGCCAAGGCCGGTGATCATACGAAGTTGATCCATAAGAAACGCCGCGCAAAAGGAAAGAAGGCGCTCAGCCGCAAGTCGAACGTTTCGGAGGCGCGAAGAGAGCCTCCCCGAACCTCAATGTCCATGACGAACGGCCTGGACGGACGTGGCGCCTCTATGCGCAACAACCGTACCACCGATATGATCAAGTATATTCAGCGCAAGCCTTACACCGTCTTTGCCCGCAAGGCCAAGATGTTCATCTTAGCCATGGCGTTGTGTCACACTTGTATCCCGGAAGATGACGAACTTGGCAATGTCTCGTTCCAGGCAGCATCGCCCGATGAGTTGGCCTTGGTTATGGCCGCTCAGGAGCTTGGCTACCTCGTTCGCGACCGGCAGCCAAATACTCTTACCATTCGGAACTATCCCAACGGACCCGATGACAAGCCTTGTGATGAGGTATATCAGATCATGGATGTTATCGAGTTCTCAAGCGCTCGTAAACGTATGTCGGTTGTGGTGCGGATGCCTGATCAACGCATTTGTGTGTTCTGCAAGGGCGCTGATAGCATTCTTATGCGATTGCTGAAACGTGCCGAGCTCGCGCAGGAGAAGGCCGTGGAGATTGAGAGGCGCGCCAGCAAACGCAAGGCGGCCGAGGCTGCCCAGGTCGTAAGGCGCAACAGCGAGTATCACAGTCGTAAGGATAGCGGGCTTCGGACCAGCTTTGGCCGGCCTAGCATGGCCCGTCGGCGATCAAGTATTACCGGCGATCACGTATCGGCTCTGAGAGAAAGCATCGACGTTTGGCTGCGCGACCGGGAGACCGATGGTGGAATCTTGACGCGAGGGGACGATCCTGAGTATTACAGTCCTCGCCCCTCTGCCCAATTGGGACGCGCTTCGAGCACATGGTCGGATTCTGGCAGCTCCATTCACGAAAATGAAGAGGAAGAGCTTGTGGAGGAGGCTTTGGTTGTAAACGAAGCTGCCGTGTTCGAGCGCTGCTTCCAGCATCTCAACGACTTTGCGACGGAGGGGTTGCGTACGCTCCTGTATGGGCACCGCTTCCTTGACGAAGCTGCGTACAACAACTGGAAGGCTGCCTATCACGAAGCCTCCACTAGCCTTGTTGATAGACAGGAGAAGATCGAACAGGTTGGTGAACAGATTGAGCAACAGCTTGAGTTGACTGGCGCAACGGCCATCGAAGACAAGCTGCAGAAGGGCGTTCCCGAGGCGATCGACAAGCTTCGCCGTGCGAATATCAAGATGTGGATGCTGACTGGCGACAAGCGAGAGACCGCCATCAACATTGGTCACTCCTGCCGTCTGGTGAAGGACTACTCGACCCTTGTCATTCTGGACCATGAGACTGGAGAGGTCGAGCAGTCAATTGTTAAATTGACAGCCGACATCACTAAGGGCGGCGTGGCTCATTCGGTTGTTGTAGTTGATGGGCAGACGCTATCCATAATCGAGTCAGACCAAATTTTGGCGGCACAGTTTTTCAGGCTGGCCGTGCTAGTCGATTCGGTTATCTGCTGCCGTGCCAGTCCTAAGCAGAAAGCCTTCCTGGTCAAGTCGATCCGACAACAAGTCAAGGGTAGCGTGACGCTGGCGATTGGTGATGGTGCGAACGACATTGCCATGATCCAGGAAGCTCACGTTGGCATCGGCATTACTGGTAAGGAGGGATTGCAGGCGGCCCGAATCTCGGACTATTCGATTGCCCAGTTCAGGTTCTTGCTGAAGTTGCTCCTCGTCCACGGCCGGTGGAACTATATCCGGGCGTGCAAGTACACGCTCGGAACCTTCTGGAAGGAGATGCTGTTCTACCTGACGCAGGCTCTATACCAGCGCTGGAACGGGTACACTGGCACCAGTATCTATGAGTCGTGGAGTTTGAGTATGTTTAATACTCTCTTCACATCTCTGGCCGTCATCTTCCTTGGCATCTTTACCAAAGATCTCTCTGCCTCCACCCTCCTAGCTGTCCCAGAGTTATATACCAAAGGGCAGCGCAACGGCGGGTTCAACATTCGGCTGTATTTAGGCTGGACGTTCATGGCTGCATGTGAGGCCATGATGATTTATTTCTGCATGTTTGGGCTGTTTGAAAATGTCATGTTCACGCACACAGGCAGTGACATCTTCTCAGCCGGTCTGCTCTCGTTCACGGCCTGTGTCATCGTCATCAACACCAAGCTACAGGCCCTCGAGGTGCACAACAAGACGTATCTGTGCTTAGTTGTGTGGATCATCTCCGTTGGTGGTTGGTTCTGTTGGAACTTGATCCTCGATCGCCGGTACAACCCCAGCTCTGGTGACGGGATCTACCATGTTCTGGGCAACTTTGTCTATGCATCGGGCCACGACCTCGCTTTTTGGGCAGCTTTACTCGTCACCGTCATCGCAGTGATCGTGTTCGAAATGACCGTGAGTTCCGTCCGGGCGCTCTTTTTTCCCACGGACGTGGACGTCTTCCAAGAATACGAGCAGGACTTGGACATTCGAAGACGGTTTGAGGAAGCCGCTGCATCTGAGCTGCAACAAGGCTGGGATCACGGCAAGAAGAAATCAAGCTTTGAGCTGGCTCGCGAGGAAGAGATGGAAGTGCGCGAACAACAGGTTCGGGAACTTCTTGCCCGGCCACGAGTGATGGTGACCGGTAGCAAGACAGGCTCTGGTCCTGTTGAGATGGAGGATGTTGAACTCGGCGGATACGGCA